GGGTTGGAATGGACCTTAAAGCTCCTCCAGCCCCAACTCCCTGCCCTGGGCAGCAGTTTTTAAAACACCTCTCAATTACTCCTGGGTCCCACAGTGCCATCCCCTGGCAGGGCAGCAGCTCCTGGGTCCTTTAGTGCTATCCCTCCCCTGAACCTTTGCCCCCAGGCACAAAGGGGCTGGCAATGCCAAGCTCAGGGCTGGCAAAGCCAAGCTCAGCATTTCTGGGCTCAGGGAAAGGGAGGTGGCCTCTCCTCCATGCTGGGAAATCTCCCAGGAGGGGCACAGGAGCTCCTGCTGAGCCAGGGCAGCTGCCCAGCTTTGGGAGGGGTCAGGGGTGAGCTGGGTTTCATTTTGGGGGGATTTAGGGGCTTTAGGTGCTGCCCTGCTCACAACAAAACCCAGCCCCGGCTTTGGCTCCTGCCTGAGCCGGCTCAGCCCAGCCCAGCATGGGCACAAAGGGCACAGTGTGTCCCAAGCACGGGGAGGGGGCTCAGGGGGGTCACCCCAAAGCACAGAGCCCTGCCCTCCTGCCCCAAACTGCTCCTGAGGCCAGCACGGGGCTCTCTGTAGCATTTTTTAGGGATTTCAGCCCAGGAGGCACCTGCACAGCTCCTGCTGCAGCTTTATCTCCCTGCTCAGGGAGAAGGAAAAGGGGGGAAAGAAGGAAAAGGGATGAAATGCCCTGCACAGGGTTTTGCTGCAGGAGACAGGGTGGGAAGCTGTGGAATTTGGGGGAAATCAGAACTGCCTGGGGGATACCCCAGGGCTGGAGGGGGTTTTGGGCTGGAAAGCTGCACTTGATTCCCAGCAGGAATTTCTCTCTCCAAGGCCTTTTAGGGATAAACTGTCCAGGTAAGAAATGACACCTGAATTAATTTTACGTTTAACCCAATAACCAACCACCCGTGGCCTGCAATGGGGAATTTTTATCCAATGACAGAAAAACACCCAAACCCATGGAGGAGAAGGAGAAGAGAAGGAGAAGGAGAAGAGAAGGAGAAGAGGAGAAGGAGGAGAAGGAGAAGGAGAAGGAGAAGGAGAAGGAGAAGGAGGAGAAGGAGAAGGAGAAGGAGAAGGAGAAGGAGAAGGAGAAGGAGAAGGAGAAGGAGAAGGAGAAAGAGAAGGAGAAGGAGGAGAAGGAGAAGGAGAAGGGGAAAAGGAAAAGGAAAAGGAGAAAAGGAAAAGGAGAAGGAGAAGGAGAAGGAGAAAAGGAAAAGGAGAAGGAGAAGGAGAAGGGGAAAAGGAGAAGGAGAAGGAGAAGGAGAAGGAGAAGAAAAGGAGAAGAAAAGGAGAAGAAAAGGAGAAGGAGATGTAGGAGAGGGTGGCTCATTTTGGGCTCACTCCGTGCAGGGTTCACCCCTAGCCCAGGGAACATCGCTGCCCAAATCCCGTGGCTCCCCAGGGATCCATGGGGACACACCTGCCCAGGTGAGCTGTGGGAATTAGGAGAGCTCTGGGGAGCTCCAAACTCCTTTATTTTTAACGCCCTTTTGTATTTCCCCTCCTCGAGCCTCTGGCAAAGCCCCCGGAGCCGGGACACGGGTCCCTAATTACAAAATGATGCCAAAGGATGGGTGTGGAGGCCGGAGGAGGCTGGAACCCCGCTCCATCCCCTCCCCACACCGCGCTGCTTTTCCAGAGGCATTCCCGGGCTCCCAGATCCAGCCGGGCTCTGTTCCCCGGTCTCGGGACGCCCTCAGCTGGTGACAGAAAATGCCGGGAAAGGGAAATAAAAGTTACAGCGGCATTTCGTCTTCTTATCCCACAGCACCCACCGGGCACAGGCTGGTTCCCCGGGAACTCCAGAACCCAGGGAGTGTTGGCACCCAGAGAACCCTGGCATCCGCAGTGATGCTGGCACCCAGGGGGTGCTGGTACCCAAAAATGCTGGTACCCAGGGGATTTAAGTATCCAAAGACGCTGGTCCATGGGGGATGCAGGTACCCGGGGGATGCTGGTACCCAGGGGGATGTTGGTACCCAGGGGGATGCTGGTACCCAGGGGATGCTGGTATCCAGGGGATTTTGGTACCTTGGGGATTTGGGTACCCAGGGGATCTTGGTACCTTGGGGATGTTGGTACCCAAAGGTGCTGGTCCATGGGGGATGCTGATACCCAGGGGATGCTGGTACCCAGGGGATTTTGATACCCAAATATGCTGGCACCGAGGGGATTTGGGTACCCAGGGGATTCTGCTACCCAGAGGATTTTGGCACCCAAGGGATGCTGGTACCCAGGGGATTTTGGTACCCAGAGGATTTTGGCACCCAGGGAATGCTGGTACCCAGGGGATTCTGGTACCCAGAGGATTTTGGTACCCAGAGGATTTTGGCACCCAGGGGACGCTGGCACCCAGGGGATTTTGGTATCCAGGGGATTCTGGTACCCAGGGGATGCAGGTACCCAGGGGATTTGGATACCCGGAGGATTTTGGCACCCAGGGGACGCTGGCACCCAGGGGATTTTGGTACCCAAAGGTGCTGGTCCATGGGGGATGTTGGTACCCAGGGGGATGCAGGTACCTGGAGGATTGATACCCAGGGAATGGTGATGCCCGGGGGATGCTGGCACCTGGGAGTGCTGGTATCTGGTGGATGTTGGCATCCAGGTGACATTTGTCCAGGTTTGGGCTTCCAAGTGGAAAAAAATAGGTTTAGATGGGAAATTGGCAAGGAATTGCTGGCTGGGAAGGTGGGCAGGGGCTGGGCTGGAATTCCCAGATTTGCTGTGGCTGCCCCTGGATCCCTGGCAGTGCCCAAGGCCAGGTTGGACATTGGGGTTTGGATCCACCTGGGACAGTGGGAGGTGTCCCTGCCATGGATGGGGTGGGATGGGACGAGATTTAAGGTCCCTTCCAACCCAAACCGTTCCAGGATTCTGGAGCCCCTCTGCTCTGGAGCCAGGCTGGCAGAGCTGGGAATGTTCCCCTGGAGAAGGGAAGGCTCCAGGCAGAGCTCAGAGCCCCTGGCAGGGTCTGGAGGGGCTCCAGAAGAGCTGGAGAGGGACTGGGGACAAGGGACAGAGGGACAGGGCACAGAGAACACCCAGAGGACAGGAAAATTGGGATCTTGGGAAGCTCTGAGGTTCTTTCATGCAGAGAGCCAGATCCCAAAATATCCCTGCCCAAAAGGGGATGGGAAAAGCCCCCAGGGATGTAGGTGAGGAGAGGGGGGACATTTCAGCAGCAGCCAGCCCAGGGAGGCTTCCCAGCCCCATAAACCCAGCTGGAATCAAATCCCAACGTTCCCAGTGCCAGGGCTGGGAGCTCAGAGGGATTTTTGCTAATGAAAGTCCCAGGCAGGGACGAAAGCTGAAAGCAGGCAGCAGGGCTGGCTGGGGAGGAGGGATTTAGGAGCTTAAATGAACACAGAATTAATGAAAAGGCTCGGAGAGGGGAGGCCAGGACTCCAGGAGGGAATTCTGGTGCTTGCTGGGTGAAGCCAGGGCTTAACCCAGGATCCTCCTCCCACCCTGGCAGGAATTCACCCACCCCCAAAGACACAGCAGAAACCCCAGAGCAGACAGGCCTCAGGATTTGAATGATTTTAGAATTATAGTGATTGGAGAGCCAGGGGGGCAAAATCTGAGCTGCAGGGTTGGGGTGGAGGGGGCACAGAGGGGCATTTCCAGGGCACATTTCAGGACTTCAAAACAACTCTTCTGCATCAGCTTTCCAGAGGAAAAGTCTCTGTGTGTCTGTGCCTGCTGGAGGAAGGAAAAATAACAAAAACAAACAAACAAACAAACAAACAAACCACAAATAGTTAAAAGGGAGGGGCTGAAGCCCCAAAGGAAGGCTTGGACCCAAACCTGCAAGGGCAGCAGGGCAGGAACTCAGGGCTGTGCCTTTGCTGTGAGCTCTGCTCAGTTTCTGTGAGCTGGTGCCTCCAGCCAGGCTCCCAAAATCCCCAATTCTCCAAGGCTGCTCCCTCTCCTGGCGGTCACTGGTGTTTGTGGGAAAAGCACCGGGAGAGGCTTTGCTGCTCCTTGTGAGAGTCTGTTTGAATTTTCCCTCATCTGCCTCACTGTCGTCATTGGGGGACCACTGAAGAGAAGACCCCCCCTGTCTAAAATCTCTGGCCCTGAAGGAGAAAGTCACACACCAACAAGGCCCCAAGACCTGAGAGCTCAGTGCTAAGTTATTGTTTGCAGGTGTGTTTGCTGTGTGCTACACTGAGCCCAATGAGAAGAAGAAGGGGGCACCGTGCCCTTTTTGCAACAACAGCCTTGGGAATTGTCCCACCTCTCGGCCTGGCTGGACTTCTCCTGAGTTTCAGGTGGTCTCCCACAGGAGACCCTCACCTGTTTTACAACCACCGTGACAGACAGACTGAGATGGAAGGAGCCTCTCCATCAGGGACTGAGACATGGAACCCCCATGTGGAAAGGCCCCTCTGCTCCATTAAGGACTGAGACATGAAAACCCCATGTGGAAAGGCCCCTCTGCTTCTTCCAAGGACTGAGACATGGAACCCCCATGTGGAAAGGCCCCTCTCCATCAAGGACTGAGACATGGAACCCCCATGTGCAAAGGCCCCTCTGCTCCTTCCAAGGACTGGGACTGACACCCCCAGCCCGGGGTAGGTGTGTGGGGGACCAAAGCTGGCCAAAGCGAGATGTTTGCCTGCAGGTTGTGACCGCTGGACCAAGAAGACAATGGCTCTGGTTTACTGCTGAGAACACAGACTACCTGTTACATCAATTCCTTATTGTATCTGTTCCCCCCTCACAATTTCCAATATAGTTATCATAATAAAAACCTCTGAGTTAGACAGAGATTTTGAGATCTCCCCGATGTAACAGGCGGATCCTCGACTGGACTGGACCAAAGGACTTCATCTCTACGTTTGGTAGCTCTATCCCTCTCTCTCTCTTTCTCTCTTCTCTCTCTTTCTCTATCTTTTTCTCTCCCTTAATCCCTCTATTTTGCTGTGATCATTCAATAAAGGTGCATTTGTTTTATCACTGCAAACCCCCTGTGCCGTGTTGGTTCTTTTCGCACCCTGAGATCAATCCACGAACCATCACGAACCCCGTTCATAAGGACGGATTGTGACACACAGAACCCATCCCAGCCCTGCAGGAGCCCTGGATCAGCTGGGACATAGCCAGGGATCCAGGGATTATCACTGATATTTTCTGGAAAATCCCTTTGCCAGGATTTTTCTCCTGAGAAGCTGAGAAACCTCAGAAATAAATGTAAACAAGAATGATCTGATTGCTTGGAATGTGCTCTGGAGGTTGCTCACCAACAGGTGCATCTTTGGTTGGTTCCATGTGAATTGTTTTTAATTAATGACCAATCTCAGTCCAGCTGTGTGGGGACTCTGGTCAGCCACAAAATTTTATTATTTCTTATATTATTTATTATTTATATTATTCCTTTCTACCCTTCTGATGTCTCCTTTCTCTTTTCTTGAGTATAGTTTTAGTATATAGTTTTCTTATAATTTCATATCATATCATATCATGGAATAATAAATCAGCATTCTGAAACACGGAATCAAGATTCTCATCTCTTCCCTCATCCTGGGCACCCTCAAATACCACACAGGGGACATCCCAGCCCAGGAATGGCTCCTTGTGGGCACACATGGAGACACAGCTCCTGCTGGGGCCTCTGTGGGGCTGGCACAAACTCCTTTGGCTCCCACAAACTCCTGAATTTGAGCCTTCCAGGGAAATTACATCAGGAAAAATCCCAAATCCCTGGGAGTGAGGGATTGCAGCCCTGCCAGTGAGGGCTCAGCAGCAGGAGCTGCAGCCCAGCCTCAAAAGGGCACTAAAGGGTACACAGAGACCAAAAAGGGGCATCACAAGGCACACAAAGACCAAAAAGGGCACTAAAGGGCACATAGAGCCCAAAAAGGGCACCACAAGGCACACAGAGATGAAAAAGGGCACCACAAGGCACACAGGGACCAAAAAGGCACAAAGAGATATCCTTAAAGCTTCCCAAATCCCAGGATTTGAACAAGGTCCCGCTGGAGGCACCAGGGAAAGGCTCAGCTGGAAGCAAAGCAGGGAGGCAAAAGTGGAGGGGCTCAGATGTCAAAGAAATCCACGTGAGCTCCGGAGGGAAAGGAATCCTCCTGCAGGAGCTGGAGCAGCTTCTGGGCTGACACAGAGCTCGGGATGAGCTGGCCCTGCTCCTGCAGCCTCTGGAAGCGCTGGCGCAGCCCAGAGTCCCGAGTCCTGCTCCGGGCCAGGAGCTGCATGTCCGTGTCCAGGGGGCCTGGGGAAAGGAAAAATCATCCAAAAATTCACTTCAGGAGAGAGGAAAATCCAGGGGTTGTGTTCCCCTCTGGAGCCAGGCTGGGAGAGCTGGGAATGTCCCCCTGGAGAAGGGAAAAATCCAGAGAATCCTCAAAGTTCCTAAAGGGGCTCCAGGAGAGCTGGAGAGGGACTGGGGACAAGGGACAGAGGGACAGGAGCCAGGGAATGGCTTCCAGTGCCAGAGGGCAGGGAAGGATACTGGAAATTAGGAATTCCTGGCTGGGCTGGAATTCCCAGATTTGCTGTGGCTGCCCCTGGATCCCTGGCAGTGCCCAAGGCCAGGTTGGACATTGGGGCTTGGATCCACCTGGGACAGTGGGAGGTGTCCCTGCCATGGATAGGGTGGGATGGGATGGGATTTAAGGTCCCTTCCAACCCAAACCATTCCAGGATTCTGGAGCCCCTCTGCTCTGCAGCCAGGCTGGCAGAGCTGGGAATGTTCCCCTGGAGAAGTAATCAATCCAGGGAATCCTCAGAGTCCCTGAAGGGGCTCCAGGAGAGCTGCAGAGGGACTGGGGACAAGGCCTGCAGGGACAGGAGGCAGGGAATGGCTCCCACTGGGAAAGGGGAGATTGGGCTGGGATCTTGGCAAGGAATTGCTGGCTGGGAGGGTGGGCAGGGGCTGTGCTGGAATTCCCAGATTTGCTGTGGCTGCTCCTGGATCCCTGGAGGTGCCCAAGGCCAGGTTGGACATTGGGATAGTGGCAGATGGTGTCCCTGCCCATGGATGGGGTGGGATAGGATGGGGTGAGATGGAATGGAATAATGGGATGGGTTTTCACGTTTCTTCTCCCCAACCCAGGCTGGAATTCCATTATCCCAATGTAAAAGCCAGCTGGGAGATAGCCTTGGAGTGCAGCACAGCGAACTGGGCTCCCAGCTGTGCTGCTGGGGGCTGGAGGGGCAGGAGCAGGGCTGGGCTGCAGAAATGCCCACCCCAAAGGCAGGAGAAGGTGGAGCTGCTCCCCTCACCTGGGGCATAGTTGAGCACACGCACTCCGGGCTCCTCCAGGGCCAGCACACGGAACATCATGTCCCTGGCAGCCTTGCCAGAGCAGTACAGGGCCCAGCTGGGGAAGGGCTCCAGGGCACACAGGGATGAGATGTTCACCACGGTCCTGCTGCAGCCAGGCCGGGCCCCAAAGGCCCTCAGGGCCGTGGAGGTCAGGCAGAGGGCTGAGCTGATGTTGAAGGAGAAGTAGGAGTTGATCTCCTCCAGGTCGGTCAGGTCCAGGAAGGATTTGGAGATGTCTCCCAAGGAGCCTGGGAATTGAAAATGTGGAATGCTTTGGGGTGAGGGGGATCTTTAAGAATGTCCTTCCACTGTCCCAGGGCGCTCCAAGCCCCAGTGTCCAGCCCGGCCTGGGATACCTCCAGAAAGGTGGAAAATGAGTTCTTACAGATGGGATCAACCCCTCAGCAGATCCCTTTGGCTGCCACATTCCACACCCAATGCTCCCAGAGCTTTGGGGCCCAGCCCTGCCAGGTCCCACAGCAGCCTGAGGAGCCCAGCCTGGCCCGTTTCAGGTCACAGTGACCCAGCAGTGACAGGGGACAGGGACCTGCCCTGCCAGCCATGTGCCAATGCAAACAGCTCCCAGCCTGGAGCACCATGTCCCCAAGGGCCACCACAGGCCCTGTGCCAGAGCAGCCTCAGATCCTGGAGCCCCTATGGAACCCAGGGGTGATTTAAAGCCATAATGGGTAAAAAGGGCACTGAAGGCATTAAAGGTACGAGGAAGGATCCACAAAGTGGGGCTGGAATTGTGTCTGAAGATTTGGAATAGGGGAGCAGGGGGATGAGAAAGTGCAAAACCTTGGGAGCAGCAAAGCACTCCAGGAACCCCCCAATTAATTCCCTTAATAAACCCACACCGGGACAGGGGGAAATCCCGCAGCTCCTTTTCTCTTTTGGTGTATTTGCTGGCATCCCAAGCCCGGAATCGCGCTGGGCTGGCCTGGCTGTCCCCGGGGGCGGAGGGCAGCGGCTCGGGGAGGGGACAGACGGGGACGGAGGGGGACAGGCGGGGACAGCGGTGTCGTACCGGCATTATTGACCAGCAGCAGGCGGCCGAAGGACGCGTCCTGCAGCAGCTCCCGCAGGGCAGCGCTCGCCCTCCGCAGCCCCTCCTCGGAGCCCAGGTCAGCGGGCACGCACTGCACCCGCAGCTCGCTGCTCCCGGTGACACTGCCCGTGTCATTGCCGGTGGCCCCGGCGCGCAGCTCGGTCGCCAGCTCGGCCAGCGCATCCGCGGAGCGCGCCAGCAGCATCAGCACCGAGCCGGGCCCGAGCTGCGGCGCCAGCAGCCGCGCCAGGCTGCGCCCGAAGCCGCGGGAAGCGCCCGTCACCACGCAGGCAGTGGCGGCCCAGCGCCCCGGTACCGATCCCGGTCCCGGTCGCGCTCCCGATCCTGATCCCGATCCCGATCCTGATCCTGATCCCGATCCCAGCCCTGCTCCCGACCCCGCTCCCCGTGCCCGCTCCATCCCGGAACTCAGCGGAGGGGGCGTGGGAACGCACATGCCCACGTGACCCACCCCATTCATGCCCCCGCCGCTTTGAGAATGGCCGCTGGGAGCGCGCGGGCAGCGCCGCCGGCTCTGATTGGTCGGTGCCAGAGGGCTCGGCCGGCTGCGCGCTTGTGGGGCGTGGTCGGAGCGGGGCGCCCCCTGGCGGCCGCTGTGAGGGGGTGCGGTTCCGTGAGGGAGCGGCGGGGCGGGACCGGGACCGGGACCGGGAATAGGAACGGGAACGGGATGAGCCCGCCACCAGGAACAGCCACGGGACCGGGATAAGAACCAGCAAGACCGTGAACAGGACCGGATCTGGAAATGTGGCTGCATCCCTGGAGCGCCGGGCCTCGCCTGCCCACAGCGCGGCTGCCCCTGGCCTTTCCCCCGTTATGTTTATTCAGCGCACTTTTCAACATATTTTTCAAATATGTTTTTATCAAATTTTGAATCTTTTAAAAAAACTTTAAAAATATTTTTTAAAAAATATTTATTTTTAATTTTTTAAAAATATATTTTAATTTTTTCCCCCCGCAGATATAAACTCCCTTTTATTGTGCCTGCCCAGTCTTGTCCCCACCTCCTCACTCCTGCAGGGCACCAGAGCCTTCCCTCCCCTTTTCCCTCTGCAATCCCGACTTTTGGCACCCAGCACTGCTACTTTACTAGGGAATAAAAGCCTTCTCTGATCACAAAAAGCCCTAAAATCCTTTAAAAAAAATAAATATCTCTGTTCATGAAGGTACAGACGATTTTCAGGGAGGGTTTTTCCAAGGAATACCTGGTCTGTATGGAAGGGGCTGGCAGCAGGGCTTGCATTCCCAGCTGTTCAATGCCAGATGGTTCCAGGCAGGTAATGGAGTGGGATTTCACTCAATTAAGCAGCCACAGACTGGGCTGGAACCCTCCAGCACTCTAATAAAGCATTAAAAATTCATGGCATGGCAAAAACCCAAGAGCGCTATTTGTTTTGCTAAAGCAAATCTTACACATTCGGCGAAATTAAGATCATCAGCAAAAAAAAATAAGACAGCAAATGTGTATTTTTTTCACAAGTAGCTTCTTGATGGCAGAACTTGCTTCAGTCACTGCCAGTTCCCCCCTTCCCGCTTTGGCAGCTCCAGTCTCCTGCATCCATCAGGATTGCTGCCCTGCTTCCCAGGCTGGCACCCACGGGGGCTGGAAATGGGCAGCGATTGCTGGAATGCCCTTCCAGCAGCCCAGCCCTGCACCAGGACATTCCTGATCCCTGCAGGTGTTCAGGGACACTTGGAATTGCCTTTGGAAGGTGTTCCTGCCCACGGTGGGAGTTTGGAATGGGATGGGGTTTAAGGGTGGATCCCAACCCAAACCATTCTGTGGTTTAGGAAGGATTTTATTTTTAGCGGCTAAAAGTTGCTCCTGCTAAATTAAATTTTTTCAAAAGTAAAAATCAGTGGGAGGGAAGTAGTGACCAAACAAGCCCAGAGCTGTGTGAAAAACGCCAATCACTTGTTTTTAAAATTTTAAAAGTTTAATAGTAATAAAATGGTTATAAAAATAGAAATACAATTAGAGTAATAATAATTTGGACAATTTGAATTAGGACAATATGAGACAATAAAGACAAAGAGTTACGGATGTCTGGGTACCTTTCTCTGGGCAGCACAAGCCCAAAAAAGGACCCACGTTAACAGAGGATTAACCCTTAAAACCAACAGCCTGTTGCATATTCATACACCTCATACATGATGCATAAATTCCATTCAAACACAGCATTCTGTCTGGTCATCGGTCAACTTCTTCCTCTGAATCTTAACAGCACCTTCGAGGCGGGAAGAAGTTTGTTTGTTCTGATATGAGGGCAATAAATTCTCTTTCTCTGAAAGATTCAGGTGTCCTGTGGCTGCTATCTCGCTGCGAGTCCTTTCTTTAAAAAAGTATCCTACATAGCATAGTTTCTATTTTAACATTTTTTATAACCTAAAACTATATTTAACACAGTACTTAAGAGAATTAATACAGCATTACTTTCTAACACAACACATATAATATTCATTTTAATATTTGCGAAAAGCCAATCATAAAATACATGAATTTTTCACAGCTGGAACTGGAGACCTGAGAAATGATCATGGAATCCCAGAATAGTTTGGGTTGGAAGGGATCTTAAAGATCATCTCATCCCAGGGCAGGGACACCTCCTGCTGTCCCCAGTGGCTCCAAGTCCTGTCCGGCCTGGCCTGGGGCATTCTCAGGGATCCAGGGGCGGCCCCAGCTGCTCTGGGAGTCCCATTCCAGCCTCTCCAAGGGAAGATCAGTCTCTGCAATTCCCGAGGCTGCTCTGGGAGTCCCATTCCAGCCTCTCCCAGGGTGGATCAGTCTCTACAATTCCCGAGGCTGCTCTGGGAGTCCCATTCCAGCCTCTCCCAGGGTGGATCAGTCTCTACAATTCCCGAGGCTGCCCTGCATCCCTCGCAGCCGGCGCTGGGGGGACTCATTGCACTCCGAGCCCTGGGAGGTGACAGGGACAGGTCCCAGGGAACCCTCTGGGGCCGGGAATGCGGAGCTGGCACCTCCTGGCCTGGATCCGGACAGGGAACGGCAGGAAACCCACAGAACTCTTCCATCCGTGCTCAGGCTCGGGCTCAGGTTCTTCCCTTGGTGCCAGGGAATCACAGAACCATCAGGGCTGGAAAAGATCTCTGGGATCAGTGAGTCCAACCATCCCAGCACTGCCAGGGCCACCACTGCCCCTGTCCCCAAGGGCCACAGCCACAGGGCTGTGAAATCCCTGCAGGGATGGGGACTGCAGCCCTGCCCTGGGAAACTTGTACAGGTTTGGTTGTGTCAGGGACCCCGAAAATGCAGAGGGATCTGAGGGGATTCCTCAGGGGGAACCCCATGCCAGGGCAGTGGGAACACTGTGGGGCTGGCACTGCCCTGTGACACTGCCCTGCTGTGGCACTGCCCTGCTGTGACACCACCCTGTGACACTGCCCTGCTGTGACACTGCCCTGGTGTGATAATGTCCTGTGGCACTGCCATGCTGTGACACTGCCCTGCTGTGACACTGTCCTGTGACACTGCCCTGCTGTGGCACTGCCAGGGCTCCTTGGAGAGGAGCTTCTCAATTCTTGGGGCACAGGAGCGGCACCGATGGCTTTCAGGAGGAGCCCTGGGGGCTTCTGTCCCTGCAGCAGGGCAGGGCTGGCAGCCACTCCAGGTGACTTTGACTGCTGTCACCGCTGACGTGGCTCCCGAGGTGGCCCTGCCTGTTGTCCCTATTGTCATTGTGGCTGTGGCTCTGCAGCAAGGCGGGGCTGGCAGTTGTCACCTTGGCTGTTGCCACTGTAGTAGCAAGGCGGGGCTGGCAGTTGTCACCTTGGCTGTTGTCACCGTGGCTGTAGCTTTGAAGGTGTCCCTGGCTGTTGTCACTGTTGCCACGACTCCCAGGGTGACCCTGGCAGTTGTCACCGTTGCTGTGACTCCCGAGGTGTCCCTGGCTGTTGTCACCATTGCCGCAGCCACCCCAAGGTGGCCCTGGCAGTTGTCACCATTGCTGTGACTCCCGAGGTGGCCCTGACTGCTGTGACCATAGCCATGGCTCCCAAGGTGGCCCTGTCACTTGTCCCCGTGGCCGTGGCTCCCAGCGCTGACTCCTGAGTTGCCCGAAGGCCACCCTGGCTGTGGGACCCCCGGGTGTCTGTCCCCACAGCTCATTGTGTCACCTCCCCAGACAGCCTGAGGACTGACCCCGGGTCTGGCTGCATCCAGCTGGATTCCTGGCAGGAAGGAGGGTGGGATGGGGTGATAGGATGGAATAATGGGATGGGATGGAATGGGATGGGATGGGATGGGATAATGGGATGGGTGGGATGGGATGGGATGGGATGGGATGGGATAATGGGATGGGTGGGATGGGATGGGATGGGATGGGATGGGATAATGGGATGGGATGGGATGGGATGGGATGGGATGGGCTGAGAGGCACACCAGGATCCCCACTCCTGCAGCTGTGATGAGAAGAGGAGCCTGCAGGGAGGGAATCTCTTCCCCCCTCTCATCCCAGAGATCTCTCATCTCTGGGATGAGAGGGGGGATCTCCCTCCTACTCATAAACTGTGGCCCCTCCTTTGCCATCCTGCAGCCCAAGCACAGAATTCCCACATGGAGCAGCCCTCGGGTGGGATTCACCTCTTAGGTCTTCAAATCCTGCCTCGATGGAGCTAAGCCCTTCCTGTGGGATTTGGGAGCACTTTAGAGACACCAGCACACCTTGCCAAAAGATCTTCACCCCAAATCTCCACCAGAGATCCCAGAGCTGGATTTAACAAAAGCAGGAACTCAGATTTGAAAAATCCTTCACAAATGTTGGTTTAGTTAAGGTGTTAGGACAGGGGTTGGACTCATTGATCTTGAAGGTCTCTTCCAACCTCATCATTCTGTGAGTTCTGTAAATTCTGTGAATTCTATGATTTCTGTGATATCTGGGGATTCTGGGAATTCTGTGAAGGTGTTAGCCAGAACTCCATGGCTGAAATCCATCTTCAGCCTCCCCAAGATAATAATTTCCTGTAGCCAGATGGAAAAGTAGAATAAAATCCAAGAGGAAACAGAAGTTGTGATTCGGAGCATCCAGGTGTACCCCAAACAGGGATTTGGGGAACACTACAAAAATATTAGGCTTAAAAATTTATTTCAGACCTTAAAGGTAACACTGCGTGCTGTGGCGGCAAAATGGGTTTATCCTGCAGAAATCTTTTGTGGAAGAGTGGAATATTTGGAATATTAGGCTTAAAATATTAGGCTGAAAATTTGATTTCAGTTGTTCAATGTAACACAGAGCAGGACTTTAACCACTGAGTGCTGTGGCTGGAAAATGTGGATTTCTCCTGCAGAAATGTTTTGTGAAAGAGTGGAATATTTGGAATATTAGGCTTAAAAATTGATTTCAGTCATTAAATGTAACACAGAGCAGGATTTTAAATACTGATTGCTGTGGCTGGAAAACATGGATTTATCCTGCAGAAGTACCTTGTGGAAGAGTGGAATATTTGGAATATTAGACTTAAAATATTAGGCTTAAAAACTGATTTCAGTCGTTAAACATAACACAAAGCAGGACTTTAACCACTGACTGCTATGGCTGGAAAATGTGGATATATCCTGCAGAAATACCCTGTGGAAGAGTGGAATATTTGGAATATTAGGCTTAGAGATTGATTTCAGTCATTAAATGTAACATAGAGCAGGATTTTAACCTCTGAGTGCTGTGGCTGGAAAATGTGGATTTATCCTGCAAAAATACTTTATGGAAGAGTGGAATATTTGGAATATTAGGCTTAAAATATTAGGCTGAAAATTTGATTTCAGTTGTTCAATGTAACACAGAGCAGGACTTTAACCACTGAGTGCTGTGGCTGGAAAATGTGGATTTCTCCTGCAGAAATACCTTGTGGAAACCGGAATATTTGGAAGTCTGGACTATTTTGTGGTTATGTGGGTGAATCCACGTGAGGCCAACAAAGCCCCTTTACTCACTGGTCAGGAAAGACAAACAAAGTGCTCATTGGAGTAGGAAGTTGCAGGTTTCTCTTACTTATCCTTGTTTCCTTCTCGGTTTCTCTGTCAGTGACCTTGGTAGGAAATTCTTTCAGGGGTAAACGTGGATCCTCTTATCAGACTCCTCTGTGGCTCACAGGAGTGGCTGTAAAACCTCTTCCACATCTCTGGGGAGGGAAACTGAGCCCTGAGCGTGTCCAGCTGGGAGCTGGGGCTTGCTGGGGGCAGCAGGGAGAGCAGGAGGAGCTGGGGATGGCGAGGAGGAAGCAGCTCCAGGGCTTCAGGTCACGGCCCGAAAGGAGTGTCCTGCCCAGGGAGATCCCCTGAGTGTCCTGCAGGAGGGGTTTTCCAGGTCTGGCCCTGTTTGATTCCCGGATTTGCGGCTAAACCCGTGATGCCGCTGGGAAATGTTTTCCTGAATGGCACCGGAGAGAGCAGATTGAAGCCTGGCTTGGCCTCCTGCCTGTCACTGCTGGATGGAGGGAGGAGAGCACGGAGCCACTGGAAAATCCAGCAGGGAGAAGGGGAAAAGGAAGGAGAAAAGCCAGGAGAGGTTGCAGGAGTCGACCAAACCACAGCACAAAATGAAACCCCAAATAAACACAACAAGCAAGAGGTTGTGAAACTAAAAACAAAATAAAAGTAAATAAATTATGATAATTGTGTTGCTCCAGGGATTTGGGACAGCTGCTCCTGGCTTTGGGAAGTCATGGACAGAGGCTGATTGTTGAACCAGAGAGGAACTTGCACACGAGGCTTCTCTGACCCATCCCATTGATTTTTTAGGAAGTTTTGGCCCACTAGGGAAGTTCTGGAGGCCTGGCAAACACTGCGAGGTCAGCAATTAAAAGGGGGAGATTTTAAAGCATTACCAGGCTGTTGTCAGCTCCATAAAACCCAATTATCTGGAGCTTCATTAGGAGGAAATTAAGGGAACATAAAGGGGTTAATGGCAGCCAGAAGGGTTTAAGGCCAATAGAATCTGTCAGGCAAAGCCAATCCTATTTTTTAGGATTATGAGCCATCTTTGCTACACCCGTGTTTGCCTTGCCTGATGATTTGATTAATAAATTCCAACAATATCCATTCAGCATGGCTATGGCAGTGACTGGGGAGAAGAAATAAATGAATCAACTTCTTGTGGACAAGCTCTCAAACGGGACAAAGTTTGTGTGGCAGCAAATAATGAGGACAAATCCCAGGCAGACGCCAGCACTGAATATTCATGTGAAGGTGACAAATGCTACAGGCTGGGGACAAAGAGTGGAGCTTTTCTTACAGAATAGAATATTTTATCCCGGCCAGAGCTGGAAGTGGTGGTGGGGAATCAGCTGGACATGGGGCTGGGGTGATGCTGTGGCCACACAATGTCAGGGAGGAGCTGATGGATGGGGTTCCCTTTGGGTTTTGGTTTTGGGGACCATTTGATTTCTGTTCCTTGTCAACCCCATCCTGGGCTCATCCTGAGCAGCACCAGGGGTTGAGGGAGGGGATTCTGCCCCTCTGCCCTGCCCAGGTGAGACCCCACCTGCAGAGCTGCCCCAGCCCTCGGGAGGATGAGGAGTTGCTGAAACCAGGCCAGAGGAGGAACCCAAAGATGTTTTGAGGGTTAGAACAAAATATGAACATCAGAACAGCTCTGCTCTAGAGCCAGGCTGGGAAAGCTCGGGGTGCTCACCTGGAGAGGCAAAGGGTCCAGGGAAAACTTACTGCAGCCATCCAGTGCTATAAAAGATAGAAAGAGAGCAACTTTTTATACAGGACAGGGGAAATGGTTTTAAACTGAAAGAGGAGAGATTTAGATGGGATCTTGGGAAGGAATTCCTGCCTGGGAGGGTGGGCAGGGGCTGGGCTGGAATTCCCAGATTTGCTGTGGCTGCCCCTGGATCCCTGGCAGTGCCCAAGGTTGGACACTGGGGCTTGGATCCACCTGGGACAGTGGGAAGTGTCCCTGCCATGGCAGGGGTGGAATGGGATGGGCTTTAAGGTCCTGTGGAGGCTCCATAGGAGCTGTGGAGGCTCTGCCACACTTCCTTGGGAACAGCTCCTGATCCAGCTCCAGATCAGGATCCACCCTGGGATTTTCATCCCCATTCCTCCCTCTGCTGATGTGTCTCTTCGATTCCTGGTCCTAGGAAAACTTCTACAGATCCCCATGGTGACACTGGCAGGGGACACATCTTCCTGGTGTCACATCCAAAGTGACACCGTGCTTGGGGAAGCGGCGGGGACAGTTGTGAGCTCCATGTGAGCTGAGGGAGCTGGAGTGTGGTGAGAATGGCTGAGGGAGCTGGGAAGGGGCTGCAGAATCCCTGAGGGAGCTGGGAAGGGGCTGCACAATCCCTGAGGGAGCTGGGCAGGGGCTGCACAATCCCTGAGGGAGCTGGGAAGGGGCTGCACAATCCCTGAGGGAGCTGGGAAGGGGCTGCACAATCCCTGAGGGAGCTGGGCAGGGGCTCAGCCTGGAGCAAAGGAGGCTCAGGGGGCCCTTGTGGCTCTGCACAGCTCCTGCCAGGAGGGCACAGCCGGGGGGATTTGGGATCTTATCCCAGGGAACAGGGACAGGAGCAGAGGGAACGGCCTCAGGGGAGGGTCTGGGCGGACAGTGGGGAAATTGCTCATGGGAAAGGGCAGGGCTGGTGTCCCCATCCCTGGGGGGATTTCAAAGCCTTGTGGATGTGGCACTTGGGGACAGGGTCAGTGGTGGCAGTGCTGCAGGATGGTTGGACTGGATGATCTTAAAGGTCTTTTCCAACCTTAATTACTCAGAGTTTTCACCAGGCTTTCCTCGCTCTGCCTGTGTTGTTTCAGTCCTGGAGCCTCATTCTGGGGAGTTCCTTTATCCCCTTCTCATTTCATAAAGTGACAATGGCAGTGTCCCTGCCCTTGGCAGGGAGGTTGGAATGAGATGATCTTTGGTCCCTTTGAACCCCACCCATTCCATAGTTCCACATTATTTACGCCAGCAGCGTTCCACCCTCACAAGCAGCGCTGAGGGAGGCCCAGGTGTGCTCACACAACTGGAGAAATTTATTTATATCTCAGAAGGTGAAACAACAAAAGCAAAGGCAGAGCCCTCGGTGGTGCCACAATCTGGGATTCCTGCTCTCCATTCCCGTGCAAGGACAGCACCTGATAAGGTGTGCTGGGAACGGGACATTCCAGCGTTGTTTTCTCACAAAACTGATAACAGGAACTCTCTCCGGGGGGAGAGGGTGCCTGGGAACGGCTTCAAGCTGGGGCTTAATGATTCTAGTGACTTCGGGCAGCGTGCTTGTCACAGAGCGGGGACAGAGTCCTGACACAGACCAGTGGGAGCTCCTGAACTTTGGGGTTAATTTCAAGGGTTTGTCACAGAGCCCAGACAGACTCCTGAAACCCCAGACAAGTGGGAACTCCTGAAATTTGGAGTTATTTCACCCTGATTCCTGACACAGACAAGTGGGAACTCCTGAAATTTGGGGTTAATTTCAAACCGTGGGTTTGTCACAGAGTGTGGTGAGACTCCTGACGCAGACAAATGGGACTTGCTGAGCTTTGGGGTTAATTTCACCCTGACTCCTGAAACAGACAAGTGGAACTTCCTGAATGAATTAACTTCTGGTTAATTTAAAGCCGCTTTGGAGTTAATTTCAAGGGTTTGTCACAGAGCCTGGACAGACTCCTGAAACTCCAGACAAGTGGGAGCTCCTGAGCTTTGGGGTTAATTTCACCCTGACTCCTGAAACAGAAAAGTGGGACTTCCTGAATGAATTAACTTCTGGTTAATTTAAAGCCGCTTTGGAGTTAATTTCAAGGGTTTGTCACAGAGCCCGGACACACTGACTCCTGAAACAGACGGGGCTGCACAAGCCGGAGTTCCCGAACTTTGGGGTAAAATCCCGGGTTCAAAGGGGGATGGGGAGCAGGCGGCTGGGGAAGGCGGCACTTTCCTCGGCAATGGGGAAAGGAAGATGCAACACGCGGCCGGAGTTGGGATAAAAGGGAGGCTGTGCCCTCCGAAACCGAGAGAGATAAAACCCCTCGGGCTGTGCCCCGGTGAGCTCTCCCTTTATCCGAATAAAGCTGCAGGATTCCTCTGTCTCCTTCAGGGACGCCGAGCTGCAGGATTCCTCTGTCTCCTTCAGGGACACCGGCTTTTCCCAGCGGCATTTTCTGCACACTTTGGGACCGCAGTCACCTTTACATCGCTTATGGGGCTGAGGGACAGTATGGGACAGGAGGGGACAGGATGGGGCGGGAGGAGCAGGGGCTGCCTCTGCTCGGGGCAGGGACACAGGTTCTGTCCTGCTGGGATGTCACGACGGTGTCACTGCCGTGGGGCCGTATCCTTTCCTGGGCACAACACAGGAACTGTGTCCTCTCATGGGTACAACACAAGGCAGTGCCATGGGGCTGTGTCCTCTCATGGGTACAGCACCAGGACAGTGCCATGGGACTGTGTCCCCTAAGGAGGTGTCTAAACCATGGGGCATAACACGAGGCAGTGCCACAGAGCTGTGTCCTCTCATGGGGAGGACAAGGGGACACTGCCATGGGGCTGTGTCATTCACAGAGGTGTCAAAGCCATGGGGCTGTGTCCTTTCGTGGGCAGAACACGGGGACAATGCCAAGGGACTCTGTCATTCTCGGAGATGTCCAAGCCATGGGGCTCTGTCCATTCACGGAGGAGGACACAGGGACAGTGCCATGGGGCTATGTCCTCTCCTGGGTACAGCATGGGGACAGCGCCATGGTGCTCTGTCATTCACGGAGATGTCCAAGCCATGGGGCTCTGTCCCCACGGGGAGGACACAGGGCTGTGTCCCCTTCATGGGTACAACATCTCCCCCACCCAATCTCCCGCCGCTCCCCCAGTCCCGGGGCCGCCGTGCTCCGTTCGTCCCTCCCTGGGCGGAGCGACCGCGCAGGCCCGGCCCCCTCCCGCACTACATCTCCCATGGTGCCGCACGGCCCGGCGCCTCTCCTGGACTACATCTCCCATGGTTCCTGGCGCGGCGCGGGCCCCTCCCGCACTACATGTCCCGTGGTGCTCCGCGCGGGTGGCGGAGCGGGGCCGAGCAGCCCCGGCGGTGCCGCTGGCGGCCGGGCCGGGCCGGGCGGGGCCGCGCAGGTGGAGCGGCCCCATGGAGCGGCCGAAGATGGCGGAGCTGGAGAGCCTGGAGACGGCGGCGGAGCACGAGCGGATCCTGCGCGAGATCGAGAGCACCGACACGGCCTGCATCGGCCCCACGCTCAGGTGCGGGAGCGCGGGGGAACCGGGCGGGGAGCGCGCATCCTGCTCCGCTCGGGGGGATGCGGGGGGCGCTCCCGGCGGGGCTGTGCGGGGTCACCGGGGCAGCGCCGCCCGTGCCCTGTGCCAGCCGGTGTCACCGTGTCACCCCCAGGCTGCTCCTTTGTTCTCCGAGCCCCCGGGACAGCCCCGCTCCCTGGCGGGGTTCGCCCCTTCCCCGCTCCGTCACGTCCTTCCCGTCCCTCCGGAGCCGCCGTTCCCGGGGTTCGCTTTGGGCAGCGCGGCTCCGGCCCCGGTGCCCGGTGTGGTGTTAGTGGTCCGATGAGGAATCGCCCGATTTCCTAAAAAATGGCATTATTTTAGATCAGTTATCCACATCCGAGCCCTGTTGTGGGTTGCTGGATCAAGTCAGCATCGCTACCCTGAGATAATTTATCCATCCTTGTCAATTCCCCCCATCCTTGTAAATCCCCCCATCCTTGTAATTCCCCCGTCGTTCCCCGCCCTGGAAGTGCTGCAGAAGTTCTCCCAAGGACTTGGAGTCCCCCCGAAGCGTTTGCCGAGGCAGGTGTGTGTGTGATACCCCAATGGATGGGGGGATTGTGTGTGATACCCCAACGGATGGGGGTAATTCCAGCTCCTCCCGATCACCGGGAGCATCACGGAAACCCTCAGCAATCCCGGGGTTAAACCGCGAGCGGATAACGCCGTTATCTCGGAGCTCAGCTCAGTGCCTCCGGGAGGGGAATTCGGGCTTTGGGCTGCTCCGTGTCAGCCCCAGCTGGGCAGGGCTGGGTGCGCTCAGGGCTGGAGCCTCCCCTGGATTTATTTCTGTTCCCAAATTTCCCCGTTGGAACCCCTGGAGCAGCTCCTGGGGCCTCTGTGCCCAGCCAGGCTCGGAGCTCTGGGCTTTGCAGCAATGCTGCAGCGCTGGCACCGAGCTGGGCACGGAAACTTTGGGATTTATGGAGCAGCAGAGCCCTGGGTGTGCTCCAGCATCGCCCATCCCCTCGTTCATTGGGAATTCTTGCACTTTTCTTCCTGGAGTTCTCCCGTGAAGCTTCTCAAGGCAAACCGAGCAGTGGAAATGAGATTTATTATTCTGCAAAAACTGGTTTGGATGGGTGCGAGCTGCCAGGGTGAGGAGTGTGGGTGGTTTTTTTCCGTTTCAGAGGACAAAAAGCGCAGCTGATCTCGTCTCTTGATATTGAAGTTAGGTGAGGAGCTGGGTTTGATGTGGAGCTTTGCATTTCCACAGGAGAAACACAGAACTCGCTTGACTATGTTAAATATCCGGGCTGGGAGGGGTTTGGGTTTTATTCATTCACTGCTGGATGTGGGGAACGTTTAATTATAATTCATGATCAGCAAGAATGGCAGAGTTAAACTGGCCCAGCTCAGAGTAAACACCCGAGGCAGGAAAAGAGGATGGTGGAAACTTTATTTTTATTTTTTTTTTTAGAAAAGGTGACTCATTTCTTGTGGGCATCATGGAATAATTGTGTGTCCAGGAGCCAGGCTGGCTTCTCTTCCAGGAACTCCCAGGGCTCAGCTCAGGGCCAGGCTGGAGTGCTGGGGCTGGGGTTGGCAGAACTGGGCTGTTATTGATTCCTTGGGTTTGCAGAATTGGGATTTTATTGATTCCTTGGGTTGGCAGAACTGGGCTGTTATTGATTCCTTTGGTTTCCAGAATTGGGCTTTTATTGATTCCTTGGGTTGGCAGAATTGGGCTTTTATTGGTGCAGAATTGGGGTTTTATTGGTGTGGAATTGGGCTTTCATTGGTTTGTTTTTGTTTCCAGAACTGGGCTTTTATTGGTTCCTTGGGTTTGCAGAATTGGGCTTTTATTGATTCCTTTAGTTTGTAGAATTTGGCTTTTACTGGGTTTTTTGATTTCCAGAATTGGGTTTTTATCAGTTCCTTTAGGTTTCTAGAATTGGACTTTTATTGATTCCTTTGGTTTGCAGAATTGTGCTTTTTTGGTTCAGAATTGAATTTTTATTGTTTCCTGATCCCTTTGGTTTGTAGAATTTGACTTTTAATGGTGCAGAATTGGACTTTTATTGGTTCCTTGGGTTTGCAGAATTGGACTTTTATTGGTGCAGAATTGGGCCTTTATTGGTTTGTTTTTGTTTCCAGAACTGGGCTTTTATTGGTTCCTTGGGTTTGCAGAATCGGGCTTTTAATGATTCCTTTAGTTTGTAGAATTGGGCTTTTACTGGTGCAGAATTAGGCTTTTGCTGTTTTTTTTTCTTTTCCAGAATTGGGTTTTTATCAATTCCTTTAGGTTTCTAGAATTGGACTTTTATTGATTCCTTTGGTTTGCAGAATTGTGCTTTTCTTGGTTCAGAATTGGATTTTTATTGGTTCCTGATCCCTTTGGTTTGTAGAATTTGACTTTTAATAGTGCAGAATTGGGTTTTTATTGGTTCCTTTGGTTTGCAGAATTGGACTTTTTTTGGTGCAGAATTGGGTTTTTTTATTGGCTCCTTTGGTTTGCAGAACTCGGCTTTTATCAGTTCCTGTTCCCCTTGGTTTGCAGAATTGCACTTTTCTTGGTTCAGAATTAGGTTTTATTGGTTCCTGATCCCTTTGGTTTGTAGAATTTGACTTTTAATGGTGCGGAATTGGGTTTTTATTGGTTCCTTTGATTTGCAGAATTGGACTTTTATTGGTGCAGAATTGGGCTTTTATGGGTTCCTGACCCCCTTGTTGTGCAGAATTGGCATTTTATAGATGCACAATTGGGTTTTATGAGTTCCTGACTCCTTTGGTTTGCAGATTTGGCCCTTTATAGGTACAGAATTGAGCTTTCATCAGTTCCTGACCCTTTTGGTTTGCAGAATTGGGCTTTTATTGATTCCTTTGGTGTCTAGATTGTACTTCTGTAGGTGCAGAATTGGGTTTTTACAGGTTCCTGGCTCCTTTGGTTTGCAGATTTGGCCTTTTATTGCTGCAGAATTGGGCTTTTCTTGATTCCTTTGGTGTGTAGAATTGTACTTCTATAGGTGCAGAATTGGGCTTTTATGAGTACCTGACCCCCTTGGTTTCCAGAATTGGGCTTTTATCGACTCCTTTGGTTTGCAGAATTGGCATTTTATAGATGCAGAATTGGGCTTTTATGGGTTCCTGACCCCTTTGCTGTGCACATTTGGCATTTCATAGGTGCAGGATTGTGCTTTTATTGGTTCCTTTGGTGTGCAGGATTGTCGTTTTTATAGCTGCACAATCGGATTTTGTCACTTCCTGGCTCCTGGGGACATTCCCAGGGCTCAGATGGGAGCTGCAGGCCCAGCCCTGCGGGGTGGCACAGGCCAGGGCACAAATCCCTGCCAGGAGGGGACTCCACTCCTTGGGGTCCCTCCCAGCTCTGCTCCAGCGGGGAGAGCAGCCCGGCCCTGCTGGGGACGGGAATTGGGGACCCCCAGTGGGGGATTTGGGATCCTGATGGGCACTGGGGACCCCGATGGGGGAATTGAGGACCTCTCTGGGGCAGTGGGGACCTCGATGAGGGGCACTGGAGATCCCTGATGGGGGAATTGGGGATCCCTGATGGGGGAATTGGGACCCCGCTGGTGGCACTGGGATCCTGATGGGGGAATTGGGACCCCTGATGTGGACACTGGGGACCCAGATGGGGGAATGGGGACCCCAATGGGGAACTGGGGACCTCACTGGGGGCACTGGGATCCTGATGAGGGAATTGGAGATCTTTGCTGGGGGAATTGGGATCCTGATGGGGCACTGGGACCCCACTGGGGACACTGGGGATCCCTGATGGGGGAATTGGGACCTCACTGGTGTCACTGGGGACCTTGATGAGGGGCACTGGGACCTGCTGGTGGCACTGGGGATCCCTGATGGGGGAATTGGGGATCCCCAATGGGAGGAACTGGGGACCCCGCTGGGGAATTAGGACCCCACTGGTGGCACTGGGGGACCCCGATGAGGGGCACTGGGATCCTGATGAGGGAACTGGGGATCCTTGCTGGGGGAATTGGGATCCTGACAGGGCACTGGGACCCCACTGGAGGAACTGGGGGCCCTGCTGGGGGCACTGGGGATCCCCAGTGGAGCACTGGGACCCCGATGGGGGAATTGGGGACCCCACTTGGTGGCACTGGCAGCGCAGCCCAGCGCTCTGTGCCCTGCCAGGGCTCGGTGGCACTGAAGGACCCCAAGCTCAGCACCCTGGGATGCTCTGGGATCCAGGCCAGGATGTTCTCCCTGCCCTCCAGCCTCTCCTAATTACACCCTGCTGCTAATTGCATCTCCTCCTCCTCTCATTGCCCTTCTCTCTCCTTCTCTCTTACACCTGAATTTCCAGAGGGGTTTGGGGTCATCCCTTGCTCTGGGTTTGGGAGGTTCCTTTCATTCTGCAGGGTCAGAAATCCTTTTAGGGGAAGAGAAGCTGTAACTCAAAACCAGCTCTTGGCTGACTGGGATACCCCCAGTGCTGTCATTTTTATTGTGTTTAATTGAAGTCTTTGCTTTCTGTCCCCTTGAGCTGGGGTTTGTATTTAGAGATATATATATATATATAAAATATATATATTATATATCGATATATATATTTATATGCTTTATATATTTATATATTTTATATATAAATATATATTTATATATAAAATATATTTATATATAAAATATGGATTTATATTTATATATAGATATATTTAAAAAGATTTTTAGTATTATGCATTACGAAATAAAAAATATTTGAAGAACTTTCTCTAACCTAAAACCAGCTCTTGGCTGTGATACCCCAGGGCTCTCATTTTTATTGTGTTTATTGGAGTTTTTTCTTTCTGTACCCTTGAGCTGAGTTTTGTATTTAGAGATATTTTATATATATTTTTTTAAAATATATTTTATATATATATATATATATATATATATATATATATATATTTTAGTATTGTGTATTACAAAAAATGTTTGTAATAAAAATGTTTGAAGAAATTTTTTTCACTTAAAACGAGCTCTTGCCTGCGATACCCCAGTGC